TAGGTCTTGGGGACGTGGGCGACTGCCATGCAACCGAACACCCTCAGCATGTCCACCGGCGGCTTCCTCCCAAGCCACCTCTCCAACGGCACCCACGAGTCATCCCCAACCTTGGTGAGCACCCTGTTCCTAGCGACAGTGGCGTGCCGGACAGCATGAGGCCACATAGAATTGCTCAGCCCAGATTCTATGAGCAGCGCCCTAGCTGTCTCCAGAATGGTCCGGTTTGCCCGTTCTGCTACACCATTGGACTGTGGGGTATAAGCCGTGGTCAGCTCTCTCTGGATGCCCTGCTTCTTGAGCCAGGCCGTCATTTCAGCTCCAAGGAACTCACCACCCCGGTCTGTCCTAATCCGCTTCACTACACACTCCGCCTGCTTCTCCACGAATGGCAGCCAATCGTCCCGTATCGTGGAGGTGGCGTGGTCCTTCTGCTTCAGCGGATACGCCCACATCAGCCTGCTCCAGTCATCCACAATTGTAAGAAAATACCGCTCCCCCTTGTGCCCTTGCACCGGCAGCGGCCCCACCAAGTCCATGTGGACCAGCTCCAAAGGCTTCTTGCTCCTGCCAGCCACACTATGGAAAGGGAAACGGGTGAACTTTGAAAGCAAACAGATTTCACAGTTGTCATCGGGTGGCTGTCCGTTCAGCTTCAGACCCTTAACGGCTCCATCCTTCTCCAGCTGCTTCAGCAAAGGCATTGCCACATGCCCTAAGCGTCGGTGTGCCGTTGCCCAATCTGTCTCCCCAGATCTGGCCGACACTTTCACACCAACCCCTCCAACGGCATTGCACTCCCCCTGGGATGCAGACCCCTCTCCAGCCTGCCCCCCACCATGCCACGCCAGGGCCGGCAGCTGCCACATAGATCTGTACACGTCCTTGCTCTCGTGCAGATCCCAAAGCACCCGATTGCCCAGCTTCCCCTTATAAGTGCGTGCCCCATCCGTGTTGGTGTTCACCCCAGCCTTGCCAAGCTTACGGAGGGAGATAAGGTTGGCCTTCAGGTCGGGGACGAAGAGAACGTCGTGCAGCACCACCGGCTTGCCATCCGCTCCCTTAAACGCAGCTCGTCCCGCACCAGCCACCTTCAACATGTGTCCAGAGGCGGAGCACACTTCATTGATCGGTGCAGCTCGTACTTCGTCCAGCAGGTCCTTGCGCGGCGTCATCGTCCAAGCAGCGCCTGTGTCCAACACCCAATAGTCTAGGGGGTGCAGCTCTGCTCCAACTTTGGCAGAGGCGTCTCCTTGCTCCCCCTTGTCTCCCACATGGAAGAATTGGCCCGCGGTGCGCTCCTTCTTCTTCTCCGCACCGCCGTTGCCCTTCGGGTTGTTGTCGGACGAATCAGCGACCATGTTGGCGCCGTTTTTCTGGTTCCTCCGCGCGCCGCCATCCTGGTGACGATTCTGGGGGGTCCATCCATCGGGTTTCTTATAGCACAAAAACCAGGGGTGCCCTTCCTTCTCACAATACCAGCAACTCCCTTTCATTTTGCCACCAGCACCCGACTTGCCCCCACGTCCAGATTTCGCACCGCGACCCCAACCGGTACCTCCTTGTTGGTCGTTGGAGTCGTCGTCTTTCTTTGCACCGCGTCCAGCACCACCGAAGCCACGTCCTCTGCCACGTCGGCTCCCTTGCATCCCGTAGCTGCTGCTGCCGTCGTCTCCACCCCTCAGTTGGCGGCGACGGAAGTCCTCCTCCAGAATCTTCGTCCGCACCCACTCGAGCGTCCACAAGCTCTGGTTCTGCGGCAGGCTCAATCCGCTCGTAAATTGAAGCCACGATTCTGGCAGCAGTGAGAGCATCTTCAAGCACTTGGTCTGCTCCGGGTAGGTGATTCCCGCGGTCGCCAACTTCGCATAGAGGTCGCGCATCTTGTCCAGGACTGGTTGCACCGGCTCTCCCTCGCTCAGGCGCAACGCGGACAGCTCCCTCTCCAGCATCAACGTTGCGACAACGGAGGTCGGGGCGTGCAGCTCCTTCAACACGGTCCACGCCTTCGGACCGCATTCAACCTCCGGCAGCAGGTGCATGACGTGGTGACGCTGGTTCAGCTCCAAACTCTGCGACATCAAATAGTAGCCAGCCGAGGAGCGCTCGTCCCAATCTTCCTGCAGCGTGGGGTCACTCGGTCTAGGCTCCTCCCCAATCATTAGTTTCAGCAAACCGATCTGACGGAAATATAATTGCATTTTCCAGGCCCAATCATCATAGCCCTCACCATTGAACTTCTCGACGGTGAAATTCTTCAGCACCTCCTTGACAAGCGAGCCCTGGTTTGTTCGCGCTCCCCTTGGCGCTGAAAGACCAGAATCTTGGCTGCCGCTACGATCTTGGGCTGAAGATTCACCAGCTCCCGCCGAGGTGTTGCCCGCCATAGCTACCTATAACGAGGATCACTATAACGCAGCTCTGATACCAGCTTGTTGGTGTAAGGGCCTAATAAACTCAAGCTATTAGGACTTAATCAAACTTAAAACCTCTCCTCGGGGTCACCTCCAAGGGTCCCTGGGTGCCTGGTACAAGACCAGCCCCTATCCTCGGGTCCGAGTTTGTAGAGAGAGGGATCAAGAAGGACTTAGTCAAAACAGCAAGAGTACCTTGAACGTCGCGCAGCGTGCCGTGCAGACCGTCGATCGGATTAAGCTGAGAATTCGCTATATCGAAGCTCGCTCCAAGAGCTTTAAAATGAGCCAAGTTGCCTCGCGAAAAGTTCTGCCATTACTAAGTTATGGCTCGGACAGCGTTTGCCTAGCGTTGGAGTGCTAGCATACTAGCGTTGACTCGGGTAGCATTCCGCCGTCGAATAGCGCAGAAACGAAATTCCAGCGAGGAAGGAATTCGCTTGAATCAATTTGACTATATTCAGGTACAAACAGAGAAGGATTAAATAGTTCTAGCTAGCAAGGACCTTGGGAATCAACCTGGGAACAACCAGGGATGATCCCAAATAATTCCAAGCAACAGAACCAACCTGGCTGGACAAAATAGCAGGTGGTAGGTTGGTAAACAACCTCTGGTTCTGTTTTTCCAACCTGGGAAAACAACAACCAGGTTCAGGTTCTAAAAACAGAACCTGTTTTGTCTTTGCCCAACCAGCCAAATGCTGGTTCTGCTGGTTTCCCCTGGCCTTGTAGCATGCAGATACAGACAAACAACATCCAACCTTCACCTAAATTGTACCCCTATAGTGCCTTCCCTGCTACACTATAGTTAACCAAACAAAACAGTACAATTTCGAGTTGGATAGAACTGAATCTGCGCAATCAACTCAACCGAACTGCAAAGCTTCCATCTTGGGTTCCTTTGCGAGCTCGTCCTTTCTGCTTGCACTGTTCATAGCGCGTACAATGTTGTGCCGAAACGCACATTGCGCGAGTACCTGCAAATGCATCAAGCGAAAAATGCGAAAGCAAACAAACACACGAACACACAATTCACACGCAAATGCATTCGCACACGCATACTCGTACAAACAGACGGCAGGATGTCGTGCAATGTGCATTTGCACCCAACAGCAAGCAGGAAGGACGAGCTCGCAAAGGAACCCAAGATGGAAGCTTTGCAGTTCGGTTGAGTTGATTGCGCAGATTCAGTTCTATCCAACTCGAAATTGTACTGTTTTGTTTGGTTAACTATAGTGTAGCAGGGAAGGCACTATAGGGGTACAATTTAGGTGAAGGTTGGATGTTGTTTGTCTGTATCTGCATGCTACAAGGCCAGGGGAAACCAGCGGAACCAGCATTTGGCTGGTTGGGCAAAGACAAAACAGGTTCTGTTTTTAGAACCTGAACCTGGTTGTTGTTTTCCCAGGTTGGAAAAACAGAACCAGAGGTTGTTTACCAACCTACCACCTGCTATTTTGTCCAGCCAGGTTGGTTCTGTTGCTTGGAATTATTTGGGATCATCCCTGGTTGTTCCCAGGTTGATTCCCAAGGTCCTTGCTAGCTAGAACTATTTAATCCTTCTCTGTTTGTACCTGAACATAGTAAAATTGATTCAAGCGAATTCCTTCCTCGCTGGAATTTCGTTTCTGCGCTATTCGACGGCGGAATGCTACCCGAGTCAACGCTAGTACGCTAGCACTCTAATGCTAGGCAAACACCGTCTGAGCCATAACTTTGTAATGGCAGAACTTTTCGCGAGGCAACTTGGCTCATTTTAAAGCTCTTGGAGCGAGCTTCGATATAGCGAATTCTCAGCTTAATCCGACCGACGGTCTGCACGGCACGCTGCGCGACGTTCAAGGTACTCTTGCTGTTTTGACTAAGTCCTTCTTGATCCCTCTCTCTACAAACTCGGACCCGAGGATAGGGGCTGGTCTTGTACCAGGCACCCAGGGACCCTTGGAGGTGACCCCGAGGAGAGGTTTTAAGTTTGATTAAGTCCTAATAGCTTGAGTTTATTAGGCCCTTACACCAACAGCTGACCCCTCTGGGGGTCCGGTCATTGCGACCTCCTCCACTGTCCTTCCTTGTCCTGCGGTCCCGTCCGGCACGCTGTCAGGTCTCTACCTCCCCTCGTTCTCTACGAACTTGGTGGCGGGTTGTGCGCTCCAGGACTCGGGTGTTCACCAGTTCACCCCTGCCTACGAGCGCGTGACACACTGCACGTGTGCTCGGACGGGTCGCCACCTGGCTACTTTCACTCGAGAGCCGGGGTCGGACCTGTACACACTGACCACTGAGTCCCCTCCGGTAGCTGCGTCTGCGTCTACGTCTGCGTCTGCGTCAGGTCAGCTGTCCGCCCCCTGCTCGTGTCGCTCTCTGGCGCATGAGACTGTCCTTTGGCACCACCGCCTTGGTCACCCGTCTGTGCAGCGCCTTCGGGCCATGCACAAACGGGACCTTGTTGCTGGTCTTCCCAGGGTGCTCCCTCCCCTTCTCGACTCACCTGCTCCTCCCTGTCTTCCCTGTGTCGAGGGGCGGCAGCGCGCCGCTCCTCACTCCTCCTCCTTTCCTCCGACGTCTGCTCCTTTGCAGACACTCCACATGGACGTGTGGGGCCCAGCCCGCGTCCGTGGTCAGGGTCAGGAGAGGTACTTCCTGATTGTTGTTGACGACTTCTCGCGCTACACCACGGTCTTCCCCTTGCGCACCAAGGGTGACGTCCCTGATGTCTTGATCCCTTGGATCCGCAGATCTCGTCTCCAGCTTAGTGAGCGTTTCCGCTCCGACTTCCCTGTCCTGCGTCTGCACTCTGACAGAGGTGGAGAGTTTTCCTCTGGCCTCTTGGAGGCCTTCTGTCAGCAGGAGGGCATTGAGCAGTCGTTCACGCTTCCGGCCTCTCCACAGCAGAATGGGGTTGCTGAGCGCCGCATTGGCTTGGTCATGGAGGTCGCTCGTACCTCCTTGGTTCATGCGGCTGCCCCCCACTTTCTGTGGCCGTTTGCAGTCCGATACGCTGCGCATCAGCTCAACCTCTGGCCCCGTGTCTCCTTGCCCGAGACTTCTCCGACACTGCGTTGGACGGGAGAGGCTGGCGATGCGTCGCGTTTTCGGGTCTGGGGATCCCGAGCTTTTGTCCGCGACACGTCCGCGGACAAGCTCTCCCGTCGTGCTGTCCCCTGCGTCTTCCTTGGCTTTGTCCCGGACGCCCCTGGTTGGCAGTTCTACCACCCCACCTCGCGGCGTGTCCTGGCCTCTCAGGACGTCACTTTTGACGAGTCCGTCCCCTACTACCGCCTCTTCCCCTACCGCACTGCCCCGCTCCCCCCCCCGCCTCTCTTCCTCGCTCCAGGTGCAGAGGTACCAGACCCCCTCCCCCCTCAGGGTGCCGCTCCCTCAGGTGTGTCCCAGGTAGACCCGGGTGAGCCTGTCGAGGTAGCTGTTGACTCTCGTCCTGCGTCTAGGGGTGCTGAGCCTGGGGGTGCTGAGTCTGGGGGTGCTGAGCCTGGGGGTGTTGAGCCTGGAGGTGCGGAGCCTGGGGGTGTTGAGCCTGGAGGTGCGGACCCTGGAGGTGTGGAGCCTGGAGGTGCTGAGCCTGGGGGTGCGGAGTCTGGGGGTACTGAGACTGAGCGTGCTACACCTGGAGGAGCCCTCTCCTCCCAGCAGCTGCAGGAGAGGTACCTCGAGTACTGCCGCCTCCGGAGAGGTGCTGCTGGAGCTCGTCCCGGTACTTCCCCTCCTACCCAGGAGCTCCCCCCCATTCAGCAGATCCGAGAGTGGTACACGCGACGCTGCAGTCTTCGGAGTGGTGCTCCTGGTGCTGCGGACCCTGGGGGTGGCACTGCTGCTGGTGCTGAGGACCCGGGCGTTGGAGCTGCTGCTGGTGCTGAGGACCCGAGCGGTGGCGCTGCTGCTGGTGCTGAGGACCCGAGTGGTGGAGCTGCTGCTGGTGCTGAGGACCCGAGCGGTGGCGCTGCTGCTGGTGCTGAGGACCCGAGCGTTGGAGCTGCTGCTGGTGCTGAGGACCCGGGCGTTGGGGCTGCTGCTGGTGCTGAGGACCCGGGCGTTGGAGCTACTGCTGGAGCTGAGGACCCGGACGGTGGAGCTGCTGCTGGTGCTGCGGAGCCGAGCGGTGGCGCTGCTGCTGGTGCTGAGGACCCGGGCGTTGGAGCTACTGCTGGAGCTGAGGACCCGGGAGTTGGAGCTGCTGCTGGTACTGAGGACCCTGCCGCTGGTGTCTCTGCTGGTTCTGGAGACGCTGCGCGGCCGCGACCGTACTTCGTACCACTTCTTCAGCAGGTTCTTGGTCAGGCTCCTCCTCCTTGTCCTCCTCCCTCCGTAGAGTGTCCTCCGCCTGTCCAGTCGCAGTCACAGTTCCCGCCTGCCTCGCCTCTCCCTGCTCCCTCTCCTTACGCTGGTCCCACAGGAGGTCTTACAGAGCGTCGTGAGCCTGAGTCTCGTCCTGCGTCGCCTGTTCGTACTGCTCGCACTGGTCGTCGTGTCCCACGTGAGCGTCCTCCTCCTGTCCCTGGCACTCACTACATGACTCTGCGTCCCTCCACTGCTCCTCAGCGTGTCCCGCTACCGTCTCCTCCTGCTTCCTCTCTGCCTACTCTTCCTGACCCGGAGTCTGACTCCCGTCGTGCTGCCAGTCCCACTGTCACCCGTCTCCTCGCTACTGTTGTCACTGACCCTACCTTTGAGTTCTCTGCTGCGTCTGCTCTAGTCGCTGAGTTGATAGACTTTGCTGCCCGCTGTCGTCTAGACTACGCCACTAGCCTTGTTGCTGAGTCTGAGTCTGTCTGTCCTCCGTCCGTCGGGGGTGAGTGTGCTCTTGGCACGGACGTCCTTGAGGACAGACAGGAGGAGTTCCAGTGCTTTGCTGCTGCTTTACCCCACCTCGTGTCCATGCTAGTTGCCCCTGAGGGAGACCCGGATGCACCAGACATCCCGACCCCGCGCACTTACGCTGAGGCGATGGCGGGTCCCTACTCCTCTCAGTGGCAGACAGCCATGGACGCAGAGATGGCTTCCTGGAAGTCCACACGCACCTACGTCGACGAGGTTCCCCCACCTGGGGCGAACATCGTCAGTGGCATGTGAATTTTCAGGGTGAAGCGGCCACCGGGTTCTCCTCCTGTCTTCAAGGCGCGCTACGTGGCTCGAGGCTTCAGTCAGCGAGAGGGAGTTGACTTCTTTCAGACCTTCTCCCCCACCCCGAAGATGACCACTCTTCGGGTGCTGCTGCACATAGCCGCTCAGCGCGACTACGAGCTTCACTCACTTGACTTCAGCACTGCTTTCTTGCAGGGCAGCCTGCACGAGGAGATCTGGCTGCGCCGCCCTCCTGGCTTCACTGGGTCGGTTCCTCCTGGTACCCAGTGGAGGCTTCAGCGGCCAGTCTACGGTCTCCGCCAGGCACCGCGTGAGTGGCACGACACACTGAGGACGACACTTGCTTTTCTTGGGTTCGCTCCCTCTACTGCTGACCCGTCACTGTTTCTACGCACAGACACCTCACTGCCGCCCTTCTACATCCTCGTGTACGTCGACGACTTGGTCTTTGCCACTGCTGACACCGCGGCACTCGCCCACGTGAAGTCGGAGCTGCAGAGGAGACACACGTGCACAGACCTGGGTGAACTGACAAGCTATCTTGGCTTGCGGATCACCCGGGACAGAGCACGGCGCACCATCACCTTGACTCAGTCACACATGGTGCAGCAGATCCTTCAGCGCTTCCGCTTCACGTACTCCTCGCCTCAGTCCACTCCTCTGCCTACCGGTCACTCGCTCTCAGCTCTGCCTTCGGATGAGTCCGTAGAGCCAAGTGGCCCGTATCCAGAGCTTGTGGGCTGCCTCATGTACCTGATGACCTGCACTCTACCTGACCTTGCATACCCTCTTAGCATCCTTGCACGCTATGTCGCTCCTGGCCGTCACAGGAAGGAGCACATGGATGCCGCTAAGAGGGTGTTGCGCTACTTGTGCAGTACGTCGGGCATGGGGCTAGTGCTTGGAGGGCGAGACCGAGTTGTACTTACTGGACACTCAGACGCTTCTTGGGCGGACGACCAGGCTACTCAGCGGTCGTCTCAGGGTTACACCTTCAGCCTTGGCTCCGGCTCAGTTTCTTGGCGTTCTACACGCTCTTCTTTTGTTCTCAGCTCCGGTTGTGAGGCTGAGATCTACGCCACAGCCATGGCTGCCCAGGAGCTACGCTGGCTGACTTACCTGCTGACCGACTTGGGTGAGCAGCCTCGTTCTCCTCCAGTGCTGTACGTCGACAACCAGGCTGCCATTGCCTTGTGTGAGGAGCACAGACTGGAGCACAGAACGAAGCACATCGCCCTGCGGTACTTCCTTGCTCGAGAGCTGCAGCAGCGCGGTCAGCTTTGTCTGCGTTACGTGGCCACTGAGGCCAACCTTGCTGATGTGTTCACCAAGGCGCTTCCGCCTTGTGACCATCAGCGCTTCTGCACTCTGCTAGGCCTTGTGCCTACTGGACCTCACTTACTTACCTCTTGACCTTGCTTGTACTGTGATCACTATATATATATCTACCTGCATGTTTACTGTTGCTAGGTTGTGATCACTGTATCTCTTGCTCTGTTATAAACTTGCATGTGAACTGGTCTTGTGACCACTAGCTTGTGCTCGGAATTTGTGTGGTATCCTTGAGATCCACCCTGAGCTTGTTGTTGCCTTGCTTTGCCTTGACTGGTCTTGTGACCCCTAGGTCTCCCCCACTTTGCCTATGGGGGTGTGTCAAACATTATATATGTTGTGTTTGTGTAGGCTGTAGTGGGTTAGCCTATAGGGGGGTCACAACATTAGGGTTTCATATTTGTACTCACCATCCTTTCTAGTTCCCCATTCCTGCCTGTTCATTCTGACACCTCGCGTCCTCCTCTTCCCTCCTACCTCGTTTATTGCTACTCTAACTTTCTTGTGTGTAACTTGTGGCACTTGTGAGAGTCTTGTGATTGAGTTAAAGTTTCTATGGCAGCATACCCCCTAGTGCGCCGAAATTGATAACTCCAGATAACTTCACCTTTTCAAACGATTCAAATTGGGAAATGTAGCCACAACATAACCGAAATTGGTGAAGTGTCAACGGTGCGTTTTTTTGTCGACGGCAAATCTTGTGAACTCGACGATTCTGTCCAGAAATTGAGACCAACGATTTTGTGATATTTCGGCCCCTAAACGCCATAGACTCCGTCCTTAATCTCTAACAGTGCTCCAACCGGCGTGTTGGTCCAGTGGACCAGGTTGACCAACCGGCATGTTGGTCCAATGATCCGTCTAGACCAACCGGCCTGTTGGTCCAAAGATCCAGCTGGTCAAACTTGCATGTTGGCCCTTTGGACCAACAGGACCAACCGTCGTGCTTGTTTAGTTGACTGGGTGGACCAACTAGCCTGTTGGTCCAGTGGACTGGGTGGACCAACCGGGCTGTTGCCCAGTGGACCGGGTGGGCCAGTCGGCTTGTTGGTCTAGTGGATCGGTTGGTCCAACCGGCCTGTTGATCTAGTGGACCGGCTGGACCAACCGGCTGGTCGTCCAGTCGACCAAGTGGGCCAATCGGCCTGTAAATCCATTGGACAGGGTGGACAAACCGGCCTGATGGTCCAAAGATCCGACTGGACGAACCTGACTGTTGGTCCAGTGTTCCAGGTGGGACCATCCAGCATGTTGGTCTAATGGACCGGTTGGACCAACTATATGTTGGTCTAGTTGCCCGGGTGGACGAACCGGACTGTTGGTCCGATGGACCGGCTGGACCAACTGGCATGTTGGTCTGATGGACCGGCTGAACCGACCGGCCTGATGTTCTAGTGGAACTGCTGACCAACCAGCCTGTTGGTCCAATGGACCAATTGGACCAACCGGTTTCTTGGTCCAGTGAACAGCTGGGCCAATCGGCCTGCTGGTGCAATATACTGTTATGATCACAATAGGCTTCAATGTGCCTAAAACGAAAGATAGAGTGAGGCCGTTTGATGGCTGGCTATGCCGTCATCATCACGTAATACAATATGTAATTTTTTTAAGTTTACTTAAAAATTTTGAGGATTGTGATTCGACTAGAAGAGGAGTTTGTTGTAAAGGGGACAAGCTCCTTCACATTCTCACAGGTCCGATGAACCTGCCACCTGTTGGGTGCAAATTGTAATTTGCACGTCAACCTATGGCCTATTCGTCGCAAGGTGAATTTGAAGGTACTGGATTTAAGGTAATTTGTGTTGTGTGGAATGCACATTTGTGTGCTGTTTAGTTTGGCATTTACGGTCTGTGATTCGCCTTAGCGGCTTGAGTTATGTGCATTTTAATGTGACGTTGCGCTCGTAAGTGCTTGTGAAAGTTCGTGTGTGAATGGGAGACTTCACGTGCATTTGTGTCGTTTCGAGAACTGTCATGAATGTGCGTGAATATCTGTGTTCGTGAATTTCCGTGAGGTTCGTGCGTTGTTCATGAATACTTATGCACGTTCATGTTCTTTTGTGTTTTCCTGTTTCTTGTGTGTTCATGAAGTGTCGTGAGTGTTCACGAAGTTGACCGAGGATATTTTTCGTGCTGGTCAAAGGTCAAGCGCGCGAGAATCTTGACCGCGCGTGTGGTCCTGAATTCGCGCTCGTGGGTCCTCAGGCCCGAGCGTGTGGCTTGCTATGGTGTGAGGGTACAAGTAGGCACGATTGCAACAAGACAGGGCGAATGAACGCCTAGCCCACGCGCAGGACAGCGCACGTCCGTGCACTGTACAGCACGACCGAAATATCGGTCGTGCATGATTGCATTCAAGGGGGTGCTCGGGATTTCGGTTGAAAAACCGATTTCCGCGTTGATTCGGCGTACAGGTTACTTCGTCAGAAATGTCGCGCGCCTAACTAGACATTTTTGATACAGGGAAAAACTGTGAGAAACCGTTTTGTAACTGTGAACGTTCGTGATAACCGTAATCCCACACGAATGCTCATGATTGCGCGTAAGAAATCATGAATGTTCGCGAAGGGAGTCAGCAAGGGAATCTGGCAGGAGTGCAGTTTGAAGACAGTTATTTTGACGGGGCAAATTAAGCCAAATTTAAGAGCAGTTCGACAACCGTTTTCCTTGGAGCATCTGACGAAGTCCTGAAGCCTAGTTAAACAACTGTTTTGTGTTTCCTTTGTGTGTGTGTAGGCTTTGATATAAATTGCGTGCTTGTGTGAAGTTGTCAATAAATCTTTTCGTGAATGAAAATTGCTCTATCGACGTATTGACGCGAGGAGCTTATCTCCACACGCACCTACCGTTTGTCAACGCTGCGCAATTGAGCTTGGGAATGCTCTTAGTGCACACGATAGTCTTTACACTTAGAGAAATCCCTCTACAAACACGGACCCTTGGTTAGGGGCTGGCGTTGCCAGGCACCCGAGGACCCTTGGAGGTGACCCCGTGGGGACTATCTAGTGTGTATTAAAGGTGTGCTTAAGAGTTTCTAGATTCTAATTGTAGTAAACACCACCTAGTCTCATTCTCATCGTCAGATCTTAATTTGCTTCAACACACTCTCTAAACCCTTGCTATGCTTAGAGAAAGGCATAGGAGCAAACTGGTTGAAGATGTAATCAATGTTAGATTTTTCGTCCATGGCTGCTGGTTTTGTTTCCGCCGTAACCGGCCGTCCTCCCTCATCAAGAATGGTTAAGCGCAGCAGAGGCAGGCGATGATCTCTGAGAAGGGATGAGGATCGCGATTCCTCATCCCAGCGTGAACGCTCACGATCTCCTCGTTGAAACCGGACCCTGACTGCGCTGGAGCTGTTAAATGGCGCGCCCATTTCTGCCCCCGGTCCCGAAGGATGCTGTCGAAACTGTGGTAACTGCGGTAACGAGCGGGTCGTTCCCCATGCGCAGCTGCCGACGCGTCACATCTAGGCACCCCAGGCGCAGGACCGCAACGATCGCGGTCCTGCGCGAGCAGAGCGCAATGATGGCGGTCTTGCTTCTTCATGCCGCAATCATCGCGATTCTGCTCGGGTAGATCGCGATCTAGATTTTGCAAGCGCAAATCGCGACCAGGATCCAGCACGTGCAGATCGCGACCGTTAGATGCAGGATTCTGCGCGCGAGAATCGTCAGCCCGATTCTGTAAATCGGCGGGCGAATCAAGGCGACCATCAGGATATGCGCAATCAGGCAGCTGTGATTTCGGAAATCGCCGAAATTATTGCTCGCGTTGACCCCGCCTGCCAGCAGAACCTCTGATAAATCTCCACCGAAACTGGCGGGGATCTCGTTACAGACAGTTCGAGTGCTTCGATAGAGCGCCATACAATGGAAAACAACTCGGCACGTTACACTGGAAACAACATTGGAGCGGCAGCAAATGCAAATAATAACGAGGCGATTCGACACGTTCGGCCTTCTCGCGGCGCTCCAACGAGGCAACGCTGGTGACCATGCAGCAACAGCTAATCCCGTACGCCCCGTCGCAGCAATGGCACCTCGCCCTCGTGCCCCTCCTCCTCCCCCTACTCCTCCTCCTCCTCCTCCTCCTCCTCCTCCTCCTCCTCCTCCTCCTCCTCCTCCTCCTCCTTCTCTTAATCCCGAACGAGAGGACGACGGCGACCACGTCAACTCTGAGAATCTCGACGAAGGTAATACCGTTCGTTCCAAGCCCACTACAGCACCCCCTATCCTGGCCCCCATCCCTACTCCACGCCCTCAGTTGCATTCTTCTCTCGTGAAAAGTGACGGCATTTGCACTCAACTCTTTAGTTTCGAACGCATTCAAGCAATTGCACTTCATGCTATTTCCATCGTACCTTCACACGGCGACGAGCAACTCGTTGATTACCTTTAGTAGATAGTTGACGAGGCTGAAGAAAAGATTCATTTTTTAATCACCGCGGATCAACGTGGTTTCGAGGTGGCCAATATGGCCTTAAAGATTATGTATGGCAAGGTGGTGGAGGATATAAACGTTAAAGCGGCCACTCAAATTGTGGCGGCCAGCAAGACGAGGCCGCATATGCCCACAGCCTCATCTCGCTCGAATCCCGCCCCTCGTAACCGAGGTTAAGGGGAACGCCATTGGACTTGGCGTCGGGACGGCGACAGGCGTTGCTTTTATTGCCATGAGCCTGGCCACGGAATAGCCAATTGCCCGCAACTTGGCCAAAAGGAGCTCGTTAACAGGCCGGTTGGTCCACCCAGTCCACTGGACCAGCAGGCCGCTTGGTCCTCCCGGTCCACCGGACCAACAGGCTGGTTGGTCAACCGGACTACTGGACAGCCGGTTGGTCAACCGGACCAATTGGTCCAATTGGAATAGCCTGTTGGTCAACAGGACTACTGGTCAACCGGACAACAGGCCGCTGGTCCACTACTGCCTGTTGGCCCACTACTGCCAACAGGCAGTTTGGTCCAACCGGACTACTGGACCGATTGGCTGGTTGGTCCGGCCGGTCCACTTGACCAAATGGTCGGTTGGTCCGGCCGGTCTACTGGACAAATAGGTCGGTTGGTCCTCCCGGTCCACTAGACCAACAGGCAGGTTGGTCCATCCGGTTTACTGGACCATCAGGCCGGTTGGTCCACCCGGTCCACTGGACAGCACGCCGATTGGTCCACCCGGTCAACTGGACAAGCAGGCCGGTTAGTCCACCCGGTCCACTGAGCCAGCAGGCCGGTTAGTCCACCCGGTCCACTGAGCCAGCTGGCCGATTGGTCCACCCGACCCACTGGTTCAACAGGCCGGTTGGTCCGACTGGTCCACTGGACCAACAGGCCGGTTGGTCCACCCGGTCCACTGGACCAACAGGCCAGTGGGTCCACCCGGTCCACAGGACCAACAGGCCGGTTAGTCCACCCTATCCACTTGACCAACAGGCCGGTTGGTCCACCCGGTCCACTGGACTGGAAAGCCGGTTGCTCCACCAGGTCAACTGGACCAACAGGCTGGTTGGTCCACCCAGGCCACTGGGCTAGCAGTCCGGTTGGTCCACCCTGTCCACTAGACCAACAAGCCGGTTGGTTCACCCAGTTTACTGGACCAACAGGCCGGTTGGTCCACCCGGTCCACTGGACCAGCAGGCCGGTTGGTCCACCCGGTCCACTGGACCAACAGGCCTATCGGTCCACCCAATCCTCACGACTAGCAGGCCGGTTGGTCCACACGGTCCACTGCACGAGCAGGCCGGCTGGTCCACCCGGTTCACTGGACCAACAAGCCGATTGGTCCACCCGGTACACTGGACCAACAGGCCGATTGGTCCACCCGGTCCACTGGACCAACAGGCCGGTTGGTCCACCTGGTCCATTGGAAGAGCAAGCCGGTTGGTCCACCCGGTCTACAAAACGAGCAGGCCGGTTGGTCCACCCTGTCAACATGATTAGCAGGCCGGTTGGTCCACCCAGTCCACTGGACCAACAGGCCAATGGATCCACCCCCTCCACTTGACGAGGAGGCCGGTTGGTCCACCCGGTCCACTAGACCAAGAGGTCGGTTGGTCCACCCAGTTGACTGAACGAGCAAGCCGGTTGGTCCACCCGGTCCACTGGACCAACAGGCCGGTTGGTCCACCCGGTCCACTGGACCAACAGGCCGGTTGGTCCACCCGGTCCACTGGACTGGAAAGCCGGTTGCTCCACCAGATCAACTGGACCAATAGGCTGGTTTGTCCACCCAGGCCATTGGGATAGCAGAGCGGTCGGTCCACCCGGTCCACTAGACCAACAAGCCGGTTGGTCCACCCGGTTTACTGGACCAACAGGCCGGTTGGTCCACCCGGTCAACTGAACCAGCAAGCCGGTTGGTCCACCCGGTCCACTGGACCAACAGGCCTGTTGGTCCACCCAATCATCTGGACTAGCAGGCCGGTTGGTCCACACGGTCCACTGCACGAGCAGGCCGGCTGGTCCACCCGGTCCACTGGACCAACAAGCCGATTGGTCCACCAGGTCCACTGGACCAACAAGCCGATTGGTCCACCCGGTCCACTGGACCAACAGGCCGGTTGGTCCACCCGGTCCACTGGAAGAGCAAGCCGGTTGGTCCACCCGGTCTACTAGACGAGCAGGCCCGTTGGTCCACCCGGTCAACTTGACCAGCAGGCCGGTTGGTCCACCCGGTCCACTGGACCAACAGGCCGGTTGGTCCACCCGGTCCACTAGACCAGCAGGCCGGTTGGTCCACCCGGTCCTCTGGACTAGCAGGCCGGTTGGTCCATCCGGTCCACTGGTCCAAAAGGCAGGTTGGTCCACCCAATCCACTGGACCAACGGGCCGGTTGGTTCACCCGGTCCACTAGACCAACAGGCCGGTTGGTCCATCCGGCCCACTGGACCAACGAGCTGTTTCGTCCACCCGGTCCACAGGACCATTCGGCCGGTTGGTCCTGTTAGATGTTAAGGACTGAGTCTATGAAGAATAGGTGCCCAAATTTCTCAAAAAAATCGTTGGCTTCAAATTCTGGACAGGAACCGCTACTTCACAAGAAACGTCGTCGGCTAAAATTGCAATGTTAGAATCGTCTGTAACCAGGGCTATCTTTCCCAATTTGAATCGTATCAAATGGTGGAGTAAATCTCGAGTTATGATTTTCGGCGCACTAGGGGGTATGCTGCCACATGCTTAACTGAATCACAATAGTTCTCACAAGTTTACACAAGAGAATTAGAGTTGCACTAAACCAGGTAAAACACAAACAAACACAAAACAAACCGCGCAAAACACAAATTCTTGCACACGCTCACACCACGCATGCAACGCACGAACATATGATGGGAGGCAGACAGACGTGAATGCGAATGATAGCATCACACAACAGGTCCTTCCAGTCCAGTGGACTAGCAAGCCGGTTGGTCCAGCCGGTCTACTGGACCAACAGGCCGGTTGGTCCAACCGGTCCACTGGACCAACAGGTCAGTTGGTCCAACCGGTCCACTAGACCAACAGGCCAATTGGTCCAACCGGTCCACTTGACGAGCATATCAATTGGTCCTTTAAGTCAATTGGACCACAGGCAGGATTGTCCACCCGGTTTACTAGACCAGAAAGCCGGTTGGTCCACCCGGTCCACTGGACCAACAAGCCAGTAGGTCCATCCAGTCCACTGGACCAGGAGGCCGGTTGGTCCAGCCGGACACTGGACCAACAAGCCGGTTGGTCCACCTGGTCAACTTGAACAACAGGCCGGTTCGTTCACCCGGTCCACTGGACCAACAGACCGATTGGTCTACCCAGTCCACTTGACCAGCAGGCAGGTTGGTCCAGCCGGTCCATTGGACCAACAGGCCAGTAGGTATGTCTACCCGGTTCACTTGACCAGCAGGCGGGTTGGTCCAGCTGGTCCATTTGACCAGCAGGCCGGTTCGTCCATCCGGTCCACTGCACCAACAGGCCGGTTGGTCCACCCAGTCCACTGGACCAAAGCGTCGGTTGGTCCACCCGTTCCATTGGACCAATAGGCCGGTTTGTTCACCCGGTCCACAAGACCACCGAGCCGATTGGTCCACCCGGTCCAGTGGACCAACAAGCTGATTGGTCCAGCCGGTCCACTGGACCAAGAAGCCGGTTGGTCCAGCCGGTCCACTAGACCAACAGGCAGATTGATCCAGACGGTCCACTCGACCAACAGGCCGATTGGTCCACCCGGTCAATTGGACCACACGCCGGTTTGTTCACCCGGTCCACTACACCAACAGGCCGGTTGGACTACCCCGTCCACTTGATCAGCACGCGGGTTGGACCATCAGGCCAGTTTGTCCACCCGGTCCACAAGACCATCAGGACGGTTGGTCTACCGGTCCACTCGACCAATAGGCCGGGTGGTCCTGCCGGTCCACTGGACCAACAGGCCGGTTGGTCCACCCGGTCCACTGGACCAGCAGGCCGGTTGGTCCACCCGGTCCACTAGACCAGCAGGCCGGTTGTCCACCCGATCCACTAGACGAGCAGGCCGGTTGGTCCACCCGGTCCACTAGACGAGCAGGCCGTTTGGTCCACCCGGTCCACTAGAAGAGCAGGCTGGTTGGTCCACCTGGTCCACTAGACCAACAGTCCGGTTGGTCTTCCCAGACCACTTGACCAGCAGGCCGGTTCGTTCACCTGGTCCACTGGACCAACAGGCAGGTTGGTCCACCAGGTCCACATAACTAGCAGGCTAGTTCGTCCACCCGGTCCACTAGACCAACTTACCGGTTGGTCCACCTGGTCCACTGGACTATCAGGTCGATTGGTCCACCCAGTCCACTGGACCAAATTGCGGAGCCTGGCGGAGACCGTAGACCGGCCGCTGAAGCCTCCACTGGGTACCAGGAGGAAACGACCCAGTGAAGCCAGGTGGGCGGCGCAGCCAGATCTCCTCGTGCAGGCTGCCCTGCAAGAAAGCAGTGCTGAAGTCAAGTGAGTGAAGCTCGTAGTCGCGGTGAGCGGCTATGTGCAGCAGCACCCGAAGAGTAGTCATCTTCAGGGTGGGGGAGAAGGTCTGGAAGAAATCAACTCCCTCTCGCTGACTGAAGCCTCGAGCCACGTAACGCGCCTTGAAGACAGGCAGAGAACCCGGCGGCCGCTTCACCCTGAAAATCCACATGCCACTGACGATGTTCGCCCCAGGAGGGGGAACCTCGTCGACGTAGGTGCGTGTGGACTTCCAGGAGGCCATCTCGGCGTCCATGGCTGTCTGCCACTGAGAGGAGTAGGGACCCGCCATCGCCTCAGCGTAAGTGCGCGGGGTCGGGATGTCTGGTGCATCCGGGTCTCCCTCAGGGGCAACTAGCAAGGACACGAGACAGGGCAAAGCAGCAGCAAGACACTGGAACTCCTCCTGTCTGTCCTCAAGGACGTCCGTGCCAAGAGCACACTCACCCCCGACGGACGGAGGACAGACAGACTCAGACTCAGACTCAGCAACAAGGCTCGCAGCGTAGTCTAGACGACAGGCAGCAGCAAAGTCAACCAACTCAGCGACCAGAGCAGACGCAGTCGAGGACTCAAAGGTAGGGTCAGTGACAACAGTAGCGAGGAGACGCGTGACAGTAGGGTGCTCAGCACGGTACCGGTCAGACTCAGGGTCCGGAACGTGAGGCAAAGAAGACGCAGGAGGAGACGGTAGAGGGACACGCTGAGGAGCAGTAGAGGGACGCAGAGTCATGTAGTGAGTGCCTGGGACAGGAGGAGGACGCTCACGACGGACACGACTACCAGTGCGAGCAGGACGAACAGGCGACGCAGGACGAGACTCAGGCTCACGACGCTCTGTAAGACCTCCTGTGGGACCAGTGTACGGAGAGGGAGCAGGGAGAGGCGAGGTAGGTGGTAACTGTGACTGCGGCTGGACAGGCAGAGGACACTCTACGGAGGGAGGAGGACAAGGAGGAGGAGCCTGCCCAAGAACCTGCTGAAGGAGCGGTACGAAGTACGGTCGCGGTTGCACAACGTCTCCGGAAGCAGAGGAGACTCCTCAGCACCAGTAGTAGCTCCAACGCCCGGGTCCTCAGCAGCAGTAGCAGTGCCACCGCTCGGGTCCTCAGCTCCAGTAGCAGCTCCACCGTCCGAGTCCTCAGCACCAGCAGCAGCTCCACCGTCCGGGTCCTCAGCACCAGCAGCAGCGCCACCGCCCAGGTCCTCAGCTCCAGCAGCAGCTCCAACGTCCGAGTCCTCTGTACCAGCAGCAGCTCCACCAGGCGGGTCCGCAGCACCAGTAGCAGCTCCCACGTCCGGGTCCTCAGCACCAGCAGCAGCGCCACCCCCAGGGTCCGCAGCACCAGGAGCACCACTCCGAAGACTGCAGCGCCGTGTGTACCACTCGCGGATCTGCTGAATGGGGGGGAGCTCCTGGGTAGGAGGGGAAGTACCGGAACGAGCTCCAGCAGCACCTCTCCGGAGGCGGCAGTACTCGAGGTACCTCTCCTGCAGCTGCTGGGAGGAGAGGGCTCCTCCAGGTGTAGCACGCACAGGCTCAGCACCCCCAGACGCAGCACCCCCAGGCTCAGCACCTCCAGGCTCCGCACCTCCTGGCTCAGCACCCCCAGGCTCCGCACCCCCAGACTCAGCACTCCCAGGCTCAGCACCCCCAGACGCAGCACCCCCAGGCTCAGCACCCCCAGACGCAGCACCCCCAGGCTCAGCACCCCTAGCAGGACGAGAGTCAACAGCTACCTCGACAGGCTCACCCGGGTCTACCTGGGACACACCTGAGGGAGCGGCACCCTGAGGGGGGAGGGGGTCTGGTACCTCAGCACCTGGAGCGAGGAAGAGAGGCGGGGGGGGGAGCGGGGCAGTGCGGTAGGGGAAGAGGCGGTAGTAGGGGACGGACTCGTCAAAAGTGACGTCCTGAGAGGCCAGGACACGACGCGAGGTGGGGTGGTAGAACTGCCAGCCAGGGGCGTCCGGGACAAAGCCAAGGAAGACGCAGGGGACAGCACGACGGGAGAGCTTGTCCGCGGACGTGTCGCGGACAAAAGCTCGGGATCCCCAGACCCGAAAACGCGACGCATCGCCAGCCTCTCCCATCCAACGCAGTGTCGGAGAAGTCTCGGGCAAGGAGACACGGGGCCAGAGGTTGAGCTGATGCGCAGCGTATCGGACTGCAAACGGCCACAGAAAATGGGGGGCAGCCGCATGGCTCAAGGAGGTACGAGCGACCTCCATGACCAGACCAATGCGGCGCTCAGCAACCCCATTCTGCTGTGGAGAGGCCGGAAGCGTGTACGACTGCTCAATGCCCTCCTGCTGACAGAAGGCCTCCAATAGGCCAGAGGAGAACTCCCCACCTCTGTCAGAGTGCAGACGCAGGACAGGGAAGTCGGAGCGGAAACGCTCACGGAGCTGGAGACGAGATCTGCGGATCCAAGGGATCAAGACATCAGGGACGTCACCCTTGGCGCGCAAGGGGAAGACCGTGGTGTAGCGCGAGAAGTCGTCAACAACAATCAGGAAGTACCTCTCCTGACCCTGACCACGGACGCGGGCTGGGCCCCACACGTCCATGTGGAGCGTCTGCAAGGGAGCAGTCGTCGGGGGAAAGGAGGAGGAGTGAGGAGCGGCGCGCTGCCGTCCCTCGACACAGGGAATACAGGGAGGAGCAGGCGAGTCGGGAAGGGGAGGGAGCACCCTGGGAAGACCAGCAACAAGGTCCCGTTTGTGCATGGCCCGAAGGCGCTGCACAGACGGGTGACCAAGGCGGTGGTGCCAAAGGACAGTCTCATGCGCCAGAGAGCGACACGAGCAGGGGGCGGACAGCTGACCTGACGCAGACGCAGACGCAGCTACCTGAGGGGACTCAGTGGTCAGTGTGTAAAGGTCCGACCCCGGCTCCCGAGTGAAGGTAGCCAGGTGGCGACCCGTCCGAGCACACGTGCAGTGTGTCACGCGCTCGTAGGCAGGGGTGAACTGGTGAACACCTCCGTCCTGGAGCGCACTACCTGCCACCAAGTTCGTAGAGAACGAGGGGAGGTAGAGACCTGACAGCGTGCCGGACGGGACCGCCGGACAAGGAAGGACAGTGGAGGAGGTCGCAATGACCGGACCCCCAGAGGGGTCAGCAAGGGAGACAGCAACTGGCCGAGCGAGTGGCTCAAGGACAGTGCGGTCACGAAAGAAGGAGCGAGAAGCACCTGAGTCCAGTGTGAAGGTGTGCAGTGCTGCAGTCGACTCAGTACCAGGGGGCACGGACGCACGAGCACCTAGGGCAGCGGCCTCACCAGGACCTGTGGGAGCAGACGCACTAGCACCTAGAGCGGCAGCCGGACTGGCCTGAATGCCCGGGTCGGGCGGAACACGCAAGTACTGAGCACCCTCTCCACTAATAGACATGGCATACATGGCAGTGAGAATAGCATCAAAGTCTAAAGCCCAAATATCAACACCCCTCTTTTCCAGATCAGCCCAGCGCGGCAGCTCAGTGGCAGCAGGAAACTGAGTGCGCCATGCGTCGTTAAGGCGCGCGAAGCACCGCTGCGTGGGGTGCGGCCTCCCACACTGCTGGCCGCTGCGGTCACCTGTGCGAATGACGTACGTGCAGGTAAAGCTACGCTGCGCATACCACTCACGGGCGGCCTGAAGCGTCGGGGCGGGCTGCTGACTCTGCCCTCCGCCAGTGCCTCCACGACCACCACCCCCACCGCCGCCGCCCCGGCCACCTCCACCCCTGCCGCCGCCACGACCACCTCCGCCTCCGCTGCCGCCTCCACCACCACTCCCACCGCTGCTGTCTCCTCCCCCACTGCCGCCACTAGTCTCCCCAGCCGCGCCTCCACTCCCACCGCCTCCACCCCCACCTCCTCCGCCGCCACCCCCACCCCTGCCCCCCTTGTTCCTGCGGCGCCCACTCGAAGCAGACGCGGTCCCGACCTTCTCAGCACCAAGAAGGTCGACAGCAGCAGCAGAGGCGACAGAGGGGAGGAGGGGGGAAGGGGAACACCCCTCAAAGAACGGGGTGCGGGGGTCGCCACGAGAGGTGCCTACAGCGACGATGCTCGCCTCAGCTGCAAGCAGTTCCTTCTCGAGGAGGGCAACAGTGAGCTCAGTGGGGGAGCGAGAGAGGAAGTGGTCCCTGACTGCGCGCAGAGAGTCAGGAAGGCGGGTGACGATGTGGTAGAGAGTGATCCAGAGCGGGGGGGGGGTTGCTAGTGAGAAACTCGGCAGGCATAGCAGCGCGAAAGCGGGCCTCACTAGTCTTAAGGTGGGTGATGAGGTCTGCGACAGTGTGAAAGGAGGCTAGGTCGGGGAACAGGTAGGGGAGAGTGAGGCGGCCTAGCGTGGCAGAAGCTGGCGAGGAGTAGCGGGCAACTACAGCGGTGTAGAGGTCCTTAGCAGTCTTGCACTGGCCGAAGTGCTCGCGCTCGTCTAGCGGCAGGGAGTTGCGAATAGCAAAGCGAGCGTGCGCATCACGGGTCTGCCACTGGGAACGCAGAGTGCTGTCAGCAGACGAGTCAGGGGCAGTGGCATGGCCTAGGGCGTGGTCGTACAGTGAGATATCTTCCTTGGCAGTGAGCTGTAGGAACAGGTGCAGGTCATCGAGCCAGGTTTCGAACTTCACTGGACGGCCCTCGGCATCGAAAGCTAGAACTGGCGGACTAGCCATAGTGACAGTAGCAGTAGTAGTAGGAAGCGTGGCAGCTGCAGTGGCAGCAGTGTGCGCGGTAGGTAGAAAATAAACAGCAGTGAGATCGAGTGCCTCGCAAGCAGCGGCTGCAGAGGCGCACGGACAGCAGTGGTGCACAAGCAGCAGCGGAAGCAGCGGCGTACGAGCGGTTGCGGGCAGCGGGGCGTCTGCGAGCGGCAGCGGCTGCTGGCCTGCGGCGCACTAGCGGTAGCGGGCGACTCACGGGCGGCGGCTGCAGAGGCGCACGGGCGGCAGCGGCTTATGCGCACGGGCAGCAGCGCCGACAGCGCACGGGCGGCTGCAGCAGCGAGCGGTGCGCAAGCAGCAGCGGCAGCAGCGCACGGGTGGCAGCGGCGTCGGTGCACGGGCGGCAGCGGCGTCGGCGGACGGGCGGCTGCGGGCAACGGGCGTGCGGCAGCTGCGGCGGCGAGCTGCGGGCCTGCGGGGCCACGGCGGGGTGCGCGCGAGCGGGCGACGGGCGGCTGCAGCAGCGGGCGCGTCAGCGAGGCGCACAGGCAGCGCGCGGGCAGCGTGCGGGGCCGCGCGTAAAGAAAAACAGCCGCGCGCGTGCGGCTAGCGGGGCGCGCGCAGCGAAATCGACCGCGCGCGGGCGGGTAGCGGGATACGCGCGCTAAAGAAAAAGAAATCGAGTCGCGCGCGGGCGGCTGGCGGGCTGCGCGCGCGCGGTAGGTAGGAGGCGCACTAGGGCGCGTAGGCGCACGAGGCGCACAGTAGGTAGGTAGGTATGTAGGTAACGGTGGGCCCTAAGAACGGTCCTAGCGAAGGACCTGCTCTGAAACCATGTCAGTAATAACGGACTGGAATGACTGTACTAGCACAAAGTTGGATACAAGTAGTAAACCCTAATCTAGTGTACCCCCTAAGGTGTAACCCACTACAGCCTACAATCATATAAACATATAATGTTTGACAGACCAGCCGGACTGTTGGTGTAAGGGCCTAATAAACTCAAGCTATTAGGACTTAATCAAACTTAAAACCTCTCCTCGGGGTCACCTCCAAGGGTCCCTGGGTGCCTGGTACAAGACCAGCCCCTATCCTCGGGTCCGAGTTTGTAGAGAGAGGGATCAAGAAGGACTTAGTCAAAACAGCAAGAGTACCTTGAACGTCGCGCAGCGTGCCGTGCAGACCGTCGGTCGGATTAAGCTGAGAATTCGCTATATCGAAGCTCGCTCCAAGAGCTTTAAAATGAGCCGAAAATGGGGGGCAGCCGCATGGCTCAAGGAGGTACGAGCGACCTCCATGACCAGACCAATGCGGCGCTCAGCAACCCCATTCTGCTGTGGAGAGGCCGGAAGCGTGTACGACTGCTCAATGCCCTCCTGCTGACAGAAGGCCTCCAATAGGCCAGAGGAGAACTCCCCACCTCTGTCAGAGTGCAGACGCAGGACAGGGAAGTCGGAGCGGAAACGCTCACGGAGCTGGAGACGAGATCTGCGGATCCAAGGGATCAAGACATCAGGGACGTCACCCTTGGCGCGCAAGGGGAAGACCGTGGTGTAGCGCGAGAAGTCGTCAACAATAATCAGGAAGTACCTCTCCTGACCCTGACCACGGACGCGGGCTGGGCCCCACACGTCCATGTGGAGCGTCTGCAAGGGAGCAGTCGTCGGGGGAAAGGAGGAGGAGTGAGGAGCGGCGCGCTGCCGTCCCTCGACACAGGGAATACAGGGAGGAGCAGGCGAGTCGGGAAGGGGAGGGAGCACCCTGGGAAGACCAGCAACAAGGTCCCGTTTGTGCATGGCCCGAAGGCGCTGCACAGACGGGTGACCAAGGCGGTGGTGCCAAAGGACAGTCTCATGCGCCAGAGAGCGACACGAGCAGGGGGCGGACAGCTGACCTGACGCAGACGCAGACGCAGCTACCTGAGGGGACTCAGTGGTCAGTGTGTAAAGGTCCGACCCCGGCTCCCGAGTGAAGGTAGCCAGGTGGCGACCCGTCCGAGCACACGTGCAGTGTGTCACGCGCTCGTAGGCAGGGGTGAACTGGTGAACACCTCCGTCCTGGAGCGCACTACCTGCCACCAAGTTCGTAGAGAACGAGGGGAGGTAGAGACCTGACAGCGTGCCGGACGGGACCGCCGGACAAGGAAGGACAGTGGAGGAGGTCGCAATGACTGGACCCCCAGAGGGGTCAGCAAGGGAGACAGCAACTGGCCGAGCGAGTGGCTCAAGGACAGTGCGGTCACGAAAGAAGGAGCGAGAAGCACCTGAGTCCAGTGTGAAGGTGTGCAGTGCTGCAGTCGACTCAGTACCAGGGGGCACGGACGCACGAGCACCTAGGGCAGCGGCCTCACCAGGACCTGTGGGAGCAGACGCACTAGCACCTAGAGCGGCAGCCGGACTGGCCTGAATGCCCGGGTCGGGCGGAACACGCAAGTACTGAGCACCCTCTCCACTAATAGACATGGCATACATGGCAGTGAGAATAGCATCAAAGTCTAAAGCCCAAATATCAACACCCCTCTTTTCCAGATCAGCCCAGCGCGGCAGCTCAGTGGCAGCAGGAAACTGAGTGCGCCACGCGTCGTTAAGGCGCGCGAAGCACCGCTGCGTGGGGTGCGGCCTCCCACACTGCTGGCCGCTGCGGTCACCTGTGCGAATGACGTACGTGCAGGTAACGCTACGCTGCGCATACCACTCACGGGCGGCCTGAAGTGTCGGGGCGGGCTGCTGACTCTGCCCTCCGCCAGTGCCTCCACGACCACCACCCCCACCGCCGCCGCCCCGGCCACCTCCACCCCTGCCGCCGCCACGACCACCTCCGCCTCCGCTGCCGCCTCCACCACCACTCCCACCGCTGCTGTCTCCTCCCCCACTGCCGCCACTAGTCTCCCCAGCCGCGCCTCCACTCCCACCGCCTCCACCCCCACCTCCTCCGCCGCCACCCCCACCCCTGCCCCCCTTGTTCCTGCGGCGCCCACTCGAAGCAGACGCGGTCCCGACCTTCTCAGCACCAAGAAGGTCGACAGCAGCAGCAGAGGCGACAGAGGGGAGGAGGGGGGAAGGGGAACACCCCTCAAAGAACGGGGTGCGGGGGTCGCCACGAGAGGTGCCTACAGCGACGATGCTCGCCTCAGCTGCAAGCAGTTCCTTCTCGAGGAGGGCAACAGTGAGCTCAGTGGGGGAGCGAGAGAGGAAGTGGTCCCTGACTGCGCGCAGAGAGTCAGGAAGGCGGGTGACGATGTGGTAGAGAGTGATCCAGAGCGGGGGGGGGTTGCTAGTGAGAAACTCGGCAGGCATAGCAGCGCGAAAGCGGGCCTCACTAGTCTTAAGGTGGGTGATGAGGTCTGCGACAGTGTGAAAGGAGGCTAGGTCGGGGAACAGGTAGGGGAGAGTGAGGCGGCCTAGCGTGGCAGAAGCTGGCGAGGAGTAGCGGGCAACTACAGCGGTGTAGAGGTCCTTAGCAGTCTTGCACTGGCCGAAGTGCTCGCGCTCGTCTAGCGGCAGGGAGTTGCGAATAGCAAAGCGAGCGTGCGCATCACGGGTCTGCCACTGGGAACGCAGAGTGCTGTCAGCAGACGAGTCAGGGGCAGTGGCATGGCCTAGGGCGTGGTCGTACAGTGAGATATCTTCCTTGGCAGTGAGCTGTAGGAACAGGTGCAGGTCATCGAGCCAGGTTTCGAACTTCACTGGACGGCCCTCGGCATCGAAAGCTAGAACTGGCGGACTAGCCATAGTGACAGTAGCAGTAGTAGTAGGAAGCGTGGCAGCTGCAGTGGCAGCAGTGTGCGCGGTAGGTAGAAAATAAACAGCAGTGAGATCGAGTGCCTCGCAAGCAGCGGCTGCAGAGGCGCACGGACAGCAGTGGTGCACAAGCAGCAGCGGAAGCAGCGGCGTACGAGCGGTTGCGGGCAGCGGGGCGTCTGCGAGCGGCAGCGGCTGCTGGCCTGCGGCGCACTAGCGGTAGCGGGCGACTCACGGGCGGCGGCTGCAGAGGCGCACGGGCGGCAGCGGCTTATGCGCACGGGCAGCAGCGCCGACAGCGCACGGGCGGCTGCAGCAGCGAGCGGTGCGCAAGCAGCAGCGGCAGCAGCGCACGGGTGGCAGCGGCGTCGGTGCACGGGCGGCAGCGGCGTCGGCGGACGGGCGGCTGCGGGCAACGGGCGTGCGGCAGCTGCGGCGGCGAGCTGCGGGCCTGCGGGGCCACGGCGGGGTGCGCGCGAGCGGGCGACGGGCGGCTGCAGCAGCGGGCGCGTCAGCGAGGCGCACAGGCAGCGCGCGGGCAGCGTGCGGGGCCGCGCGTAAAGAAAAACAGCCGCGCGCGTGCGGCTAGCGGGGCGCGCGCAGCGAAATCGACCGCGCGCGGGCGGGTAGCGGGATACGCGCGCTAAAGAAAAAGAAATCGAGTCGCGCGCGGGCGGCTGGCGGGCTGCGCGCGCGCGGTAGGTAGGAGGCGCACTAGGGCGCGTAGGCGCACGAGGCGCACAGTAGGTAGGTAGGTATGTAGGTAACGGTGGGCCCTAAGAACGGTCCTAGCGAAGGACCTGCTCTGAAACCATGTCAGTAATAACGGACTGGAATGACTGTACTAGCACAAAGTTGGATACAAGTAGTAAACCCTAATCTAGTGTACCCCCTAAGGTGTAACCCACTACAGCCTACAATCATATAAACATATAATGTTTGACAGACCAGCCGGACTGTTGGTGTAAGGGCCTAATAAACTCAAGCTATTAGGACTTAATCAAACTTAAAACCTCTCCTCGGGGTCACCTCCAAGGGTCCCTGGGTGCCTGGTACAAGACCAGCCCCTATCCTCGGGTCCGAGTTTGTAGAGAGAGGGATCAAGAAGGACTTAGTCAAAACAGCAAGAGTACCTTGAACGTCGCGCAGCGTGCCGTGCAGACCGTCGGTCGGATTAAGCTGAGAATTCGCTATATCGAAGCTCGCTCCAAGAGCTTTAAAATGAGCCAAGTTGCCTCGCGAAAAGTTCTGCCATTACTAAGTTCTGGCTCGGACAGCGTTTGCCTAGCGTTGGAGTGCTAGCATACTAGCGTTGACTCGGGTAGCATTCCGCCGTCGAATAGCGCAGAAACGAAATTCCAGCGAGGAAGGAATTCGCTTGAATCAATTTGACTATATTCAGGTACAAACAGAGAAGGATTAAATAGTTCTAGCTAGCAAGGACCTTGGGAATCAACCTGGGAACAACCAGGGATGATCCCAAATAATTCCAAGCAACAGAACCAACCTGGCTGGACAAAATAGCAGGTGGTAGGTTGGTAAACAACCTCTGGTTCTGTTTTTCCAACCTGGGAAAACAACAACCAGGTTCAGGTTCTAAAAACAGAACCTGTTTTGTCTTTGCCCAACCAGCCAAATGCTGGTTCCGCTGGTTTCCCCTGGCCTTGTAGCATGCAGATACAGACAAACAACATCCAACCTTCACCTAAATTGTACCCCTATAGTGCCTTCCCTGCTACACTATAGTTAACCAAACAAAACAGTACAATTCCGAGTTGGATAGAACTGAATCTGCGCAATCAACTCAACCGAACTGCAAAGCTTCCATCTTGGGTTCCTTTGCGAGCTCGTCCTTCCTGCTTGCACTGTTCATAGCGCATACAATGTTGTGCCAAAGCGCACATTGCACGAGTACCTGCAAATGCATCAAGCGAAAAATGCGAAAGCAAACAAACACACGAACACACCATTCACACGCAAATGCATTCGCACACGCATACTCGTACAAACAGACGGCAGGATGTCGTGCAATGTGCATTTGCACCCAACACACTCCCCCTCAGCCTGCCGGCTGCATCCCCGTCATTCCATGCTAGTTCATGCTCATTCCACTCATGCGCACACAACGCCAATGAGGCTCATCCGCAAGCCTCTTGGTGAGAAAGTCTGCTGGCTGCTGGTGAGTCTTGATGTAGATCGGATGCACCGTCCCCCTCTTCACCTCCTTACGCAGCCAGTGCCACTTGATACGCATGTGCTTGTTCAGCCCATGAAGCACAGCGTTTCTGGCCATCCCAAGAGCCCCCTTGCTATCACAAAACAGCGGCGTAGCAACTTTCTGCTCCTGGCCAATCTCCTCTAACAGCCTCCTCAGCCAAATCACCTCCTTCACCCCATGGAACATCGCCATGTACTCTGATTCTACGGAAGAGAGTGCCGTCTCCGTCTGCTTCTTGGACCTCCAACTAACAGGTCCTCCCCCAACTACGCAGATGTATCCTCCCACAGATGAGGAATCCTCCTTCTCAGAAGCCCACGTAGCATCGGTAAAGCAAGTGAGAAATAGCTTGCCTTCTCCAAGCCTCTCCCCCTTCTCTTTCAGCACCTCCACCCCTTTCTGCTTCACCTGTGCAGATGCGGAGTATTGAACTCCAATGCTTGGGTGAGAGTTCAGGTACTTCACCACACGCTCAGCTGCATCCACCTGCTCCTCTGATGGATTCTGCACCACCCTAGCCAGCTGCCCAACCGAGAAAGAGATGTCGGGCCTCGTGTGAACTGCTGCGTACAAGAGGCTGCCCACCAAGGACTGAAATTGCTGCTGCTCTTCAGCTTCAACCCCTTCATCCTCTGCAGCCTTCACAAGCTTGAATTCTGCTGGCAGGGGAGTTGCAACCTTGCGCTCATTCTCAATCCCATACTTCTCCCCCAGCTCCTTGATGAACTTCTCCTGGTGCAGCTTCAACCACCTGTGATCTGGATCCCTCTCCACGTGCATCCCGAGGTAGTACTTTACCTCTCCAAGGTTCTTGCACTTGAAGTTCTCCATCAGTTGCTGCTGCACTTTCTGGATCTCCTTCATGCTGCTGCTGAAGAGAAGAATGTCGTCCACATAGACCAGAAACAGCACCAGCTTCTCCCCCTCGCCCTTGAGAAAGAGGCTCTCATCACAGCTGCTGGTCCTGAATCCAATCTCCTCTAAAACAGCTGCCAACTTCTGGTACCAGCAGCGTGGCGCCTGCTTCAAGCCGTAGATGGACTTGTTGAGCTTGCACACCCTGCCCGTACCATCCTCATACCCAGGCGGCTGCGTCATGTACACATCCTCCTCTAAAATCCCATTCAGGAATGCCGTTGAAATATCCATCTGAATGATGAATTTCCCACTAACAGCTGCATCTGCCAACAAGACACGGAGGGTAGGGGGTTTGGCAGTGGGAGCAAAGATCTCGTTGAAGTCCTGCTTCTCCTTCTGCATAAACCCCTTCGCCACCAGCCTACTCTTGTAGATGGTGACCTGCCCCTTGTCATCGGTCTTGATCCTCAGCACCCACTTGCATTGTATCGCTTTCTTCCCATCAGGCAGCACCACCAGATCCCATGTCCTATTCTCCAGCAGACTCTGGTACTCAGCATCCCTAGAAGCCAGCCACTTGTCCCTATCTGGTCCAGCTAATGCCTCCTCCATGCTAGCTGGTTCCTCTGGTGCAGGGGCAAGAAAACAGTACGCAGGCTCATCCTCCTCATCCGGGTCATAGCCATGAGGTAGAATCAGCAATGCCTCTTCGGTCCCTAGCTGCTGCTCTGCTGCATCAGTTCCTGCAGTCAGCTTCTTAGTAGCCATACGGGTACGTCCTGGCCTGGAGACGGGTGTCTCCCATCCCTTCATAACGACACCCTTCGGCTTCTTAGTTTTTCCCTGCTGCTTCTCTCCTCCCTCGGGTCCAGCAGCTCCACTAGTGCTGCCGCCAGTTTCCACACCATTTTCTCCACCAGCAGATGCCTCCTGTACCTTCTCTCCATCACCATTTTGTTGGGTGCAAATGCACATTGCACGACATCCTGCCGTCTGTTTGTACGAGTATGCGTGTGCGAATGCATTTGCGTGTGAATGGTGTGTTCGTGTGTTTGTTTGCTTTCGCATTTTTCGCTTGATGCATTTGCAGGTACTCGCGCAATGTGCGCTTCGGCACAACATTGTACGCGCTATGAACAGTGCAAGCAGAAAGGACGAGCTCGCAAAGGAACCCAAGATGGAAGCTTTGCAGTTCGGTTGAGTTGATTGCGCAGATTCAGTTCTATCCAACTCGAAATTGTACTGTTTTGTTTGGTTAACTATAGTGTAGCAGGGAAGGCACTATAGGGGTACAATTTAGGTGAAGGTTGGATGTTGTTTGTCTGTATCTGCATGCTACAAGGCCAGGGGAAACCAGCGGAACCAGCATTTGGCTGGTTGGGCAAAGACAAAACAGGTTCTGTTTTTAGAACCTGAACCTGGTTGTTGTTTTCCCAGGTTGGAAAAACAGAACCAGAGGTTGTTTACCAACCTACCACCTGCTATTTTGTCCAGCCAGGTTGGTTCTGTTGCTTGGAATTATTTGGGATCATCCCTGGTTGTTCCCAGGTTGATTCCCAAGGTCCTTGCTAGCTAGAACTATTTAATCCTTCTCTGTTTGTACCTGAATATAGTAAAATTGATTCAAGCGAATTCTTTCCTCGCTGGAATTTCGTTTCTGCGCTATTCGACGGCGGAATGCTACCCGAGTCAACGCTAGTATGCTAGCACTCTAATGCTAGGCAAACACCGTCTGAGCCATAACTTCGTAATGGCAGAACTTTTCGCGAGGCAACTTGGCTCATTTTAAAGCTCTTGGAGCGAGCTTCGATATAGCGAATTCTCAGCTTAATCCGACCGACGGTCTGCACGGCACGCTGCGCGACGTTCAAGGTGCTCTTGCTGTTTTGACTAAGTCCTTCTTGATCCCTCTCTC